AAAGAAAAAAAACATATTAAAAATATTTTAAAAATCCACAAATGTGTTTAAATGCCACCTGACAGTTTACAGCAATAGTTTTCTTTGTTCTTTCTCGTTCAGTCTTCCTGAAGAAGCAACAGGCTCTTCCCAGGCCTGTTCTTGGCAGTCTGTGAGATGTTCATGGCTCCCGTATCACTGTGTGTGCACCGCCTTGGGAGAGTTTGGCTTGTCTTTTGTCCTCTTTATCTGTGTTTTGGTGACATAAGTGACTGGCAAAAGGCTCAAGGAACTAGGTTGCAAACACTGCTCCTTCAGTGTCAGCTGAAAGCAACGTTCTGTGGAGCATTATCTGCAATGGCTGAAACTAAAGGTTATCAGTGGGTAACCTGCAGATCGAAACTAGGGTAGAATTACTGAGCGTGGTGCTCACTGCAGATAGCTGGCACGGCTCAGCTGTGGCATGGCTTGTTTTTTTGCAGGTAATGAGCCTCTCCCCTGCACCTTTGTCACTGCTAATCAAGGCAGCTCCTATCCTCACAGAAGAGATGTATGGGGACATCCAGCCAGCAGCGTGGGAGCTCCTGCTCAGTGTGGATGAGCACATGGCTGGAGCAGCAGGTAAGAGAACCTTACTAAGGCCACCCTGGCTGCACAACTCACAGTACATCACAGAGCCTTGCAGGACAGCTTTGTAGTGGAGGAGCCTGAATGCCACCAAGGGTTTCATAGACCTTCGTGTGTTTTTGTGCTCTGTACAAAAGAGGTGGTCAGAAGGATCAGGAAGGCCATCTCTCAGACCCTGGTTGTGGTGGATGATTGGAGAGCATTAAAACTAGTATTTGTGTTTAGCTGGGTTTCTAGGCAGAGGAAACACAGTGATTGAATCTGTCCAGCGTTTGCTCAAGTATTTTGTATATTACCTCATAGAAATTGTTAGTACCAGTTGAGGGCTGATGCAAAAGCTGAGAAAGAGGGTGAGAGTGGAACTGTCATAGCTTCTCTGTTGTGCTGAAAGGAAAATTCTCATGTTGCACAGAGACATCAACGTTGCTCAATAAGTAATCTTAGGGTATGGTATTTATCTAAATTTTCCATTTCCATTTGGTGTTAAATTGTGCAGATGACGTTTGCTGATGACATATAGCTGAGAGGCATCTTTAAGACAGAAGAAGATTAGAGCATCATATACCTGTGAGAGTATTACCTTGAAAAAGAAATTCCAGACATGGGATGAAATTTATTGCTAGAAAGTGTAAGATTATGTCCTTGCAAACTAAAAGGAAATTTTCTGTTCTGAGCTTCGATCTTCTCCCATGGAACTGGTATAGGTTCAGAGTATATCACTTGGCCAGAAGATGACTGACTTAACAAGCAGAATTCAGCTGTGGAAACAATAAGCACAGTCAGGATGTGTCAGAAGAAGTATTTCATTAGAGATTCAAAGTGTGAATGGTGTTATAAAGCACGTTGTACATTTACCTAGATTACCTAGAACACAGCACTTCCATGCACGATTCTTACTGCTGAAGAAGGAGACATTGATGTGGGACAGGTACAATGAAAGACTGCTAGGACAGGAGGAAGAACAAAGAGCCTATATGGTGAGGATATTTATTTAATGGATTCAGATGAAGACTGAGAGGGAATACTGTTGCTCTTCTTAAATACAGCAGATCAGGCAAGCAGGAAGAATTATTTAAGCCATGGTAGCATGAAGATGAGTATGAACTTTTTATGACCTCTTCAATCTGGAAAACAGAAGATTTCTAACCACTAAAAGAGAGCAAATGCACCTCGGTGTAAGAGTTTTTGAAAGGGATTAGATGACATGACTCGAGGTCCTTTCTAGTCTTATTTTCCTGTCCAAACACTGATTACCAGTGTGTGCTAGTGCCAGATGTTCAGAAATCATGAGCCACAACCCTAGAAACCGTGAACATCCCTCACACACAGTAGGCAGATTGCTTAAATAAAGCAGAAATTCAAGCAATCAAATTTATTTGTAAGCCAGTCTCCCACAACTTTCAAATTCTACTTTTCCAGCACGCGAGGAGATGGCTTAAAAATTGCCAGTTTCCCCCGATTTGCGCACCTAAGGGAGCCATCACAGGTGTTCTTACACCGAAGATTAAATTACAGGCATTTTTATCAAAAGCTGCCAACAATGCAAGAGTCTTGAAGTGCTCCTCAGACATCGCTCCCCTTTTCATCACACATCAGTCTAGCTTACTAGTCCTTCATTTTCCACAGCTGGCAGTGAATTCTGCCCTGCAGTCTATTGTTTGACTCCACATCTCATGTTCTTCATGCTTCTCTCACTTTCCATCTGCTCCACCAGTGCACTTCTTCAGCCCACAGGTCTTCTCTGTGCTCTACACTTCGCCTTTGCTTTTCCCAGGCCAAATGTGCAGACAGGAAGAGAAAGGAGCAAAATAAAGAAGAGAAACAAGCTGCCTGAAACTGCACTCCTTTCTCCCCTTCAAGTCCCTTTCTGGGGGAATAATTTTGGATACTCTTTCTCTCTTAGCGAAAACTTCACCGTGGCTCACAGCGAAGGGAGCAAAGCTTTACTGCTCTTCCTGAGGAATGCTGGCTGACTGCTCCTCCAAAGCAGCCTCTGAAATACATCTTCCTCCTTCTCCCCTTCCTGAAGGGAGGATTGAAATCCATTTGAGGGTCTGTAGTAGCTTTTTTAGTAGTGAGTGATTCCAGCCCAAGCACAAATTACATTCATCAAGGTCAAAACCTGAAAACTCCTCCACTGGCTAACCAGAACTCCTGCCTTAGTGTACCACAGCACCATCTACTGACCTCTTCCAAGGCTGTATTTGTTTTTTTGGTTAATTCAGTGTGAGCTCGTAGTTTTGAATCAGTTCCTGCTAAGACTTGACGTAGTTACCTTGAAAAGAGCAAAGAGTAGAAAGTTCTCTGAGCTGCTGAGCAGGGAGGTCCCTACAGACGTGGAGCAGGAACGGGAGCCTTCGCAACCTTTGGCAGTCGAAGTGCAGCCTTGTTTTTCTGCAGCGTTCAGACTGGCTCTGATCAGTACAGCTCTCATGCCTGGCACCTTCTGAGTGAGTGCTGAGGCAAACACGATGGCAAATGTCCTCCTTCTGCTGTGGAGGAACAGCCACCAAATCTAGAGAAATTGTCTGCGGTGGTCTGTGATGAGCTACTGGTCAAAGAAGCCGTGGACTCTCTGACACCCACTGAACTTCCCCCAGCAACACTGTTCCCTCTGCTTTTGTTTCCTGCTCAGTGCCCCTCAGACACCCAGCTAAACTGCCTGGCTTCCATCAGCCTGGAGTTGGGCTGTGGCTGTTAATGTTCAAATATGCTCCATTGAAGCAACGATGGGCCAGCTCAGCTCCTGTTGTGCTGTTTTCCATTGTGATCTGGTCCTTTGTCTGGCAATTTATGGAAACTCTGTTTTCTCTGGGAGGCAGATTGGGATCATTGCACGGTGCCGTTTAACTAAGAACCTTTCTTTTTGGTTTTATCCATGAAAATAGACAGGTGAGTTCTCTACTGGGGCACTGCCTCCTGCTCTGAGGGGAAGGCAGAGCTTCTGTTAAACCAGCCTTTGTTAATCATCACAGAAATCACTTGGAAGTGGTATCTTTAAAAGCCAAACTCAATTAGTCCTGTTACTTCATGAGGTGCTTCTGATTTTAAACCAGTCACAACTGAGCATTTTAGTGAGAAGACCAAAGCTGTATTTTATTTTAAAAGCAGGTTTCCCAGAAGCTTTTACAAGCTTCGCACGCAACGCTGTGTGGCTGCAAAAGGTGGAATCACTCGTGCTTGGTTTCATGAAGCAGTACAATTTTCACGAGATCTGGTAGACTGCTGATCTCATTTCTGGAGCCAAGATTACGTTTCTTTGGGTGGGGGGTTGTACAGCTGCAGTTTTCCTCTGCCATATAAACACAATATTAAGGAAACCAGGTGATCAGATGTTCTCTCCCTGCAGCTGCCATGTTCCTGCTGTGTGCCGTGAAAGTGCCAGAGGCCGTTTCTGACATGCTCATGTCCGAGTTTCATCATCCAGAGACGGTGCAAAGACTGAATGCCATTCTCAAATTTCACACGCTCTGGAGGTTTAGGTATCAAGTCTGGCCAAGGATGGAAGAAGGAGCACAGCAGATCTTTAAGGTAGATAAGACACATTGAAACATAATGTTGTTGCCACTTACAGCTTGCCCTGTGGGATAGATGTGTAATGTACACCTTGCCATGAAATTGCCTGAAAATCTGTCTAGAGAAAAAAATGGTTGTGTAAGTCACACTAGTGAGGGAGGTGATGTGTAGAACTCCTGTATAAAACGAGGAGAGTATAATGGGGATGCAGGTCAGGAAAAACATCAGAGAAAGAAAGAAAGATGTGTCATACATGGTGATAGAGCGTAGTGAGACATGGAGTTGGGAAAAATTTGCAGAGGTAATTAATGTCTTGGGTGCTTGTGCTTATGTTTAATTAGAAGTACTGACACTAATAATAGTCTGCTGTAACAAAATGCCTTTCATGTTTTGTTTAGATCCCTCCTCCAAGTATAAACTTCACTCTGCCTTCTCCTGTCCTGGGGATGCCATCTGTACCAATGTTTGACCCGCCCTGGGTCCCTCAGTGCAGCGGGAGTGTGCAAGATCCTATAAATGAAGATCAGTCGGTAAGCAGACATCGTGAGAGTAAGCACTGTTTTTTGTCTGGAGTGGATGGAGAAAGTTAAGCTGAAAGATGTGGACTAAGCTCTGAGTTTTCTTGTCTTCCTCAGCTGGGAAAAATCTAGTACACAGTCTATGCAGGGTACACAGAATTTTCTACATGGGCATAAGGCTTTTCTGTTTGTTCAACGAGGTACTGTACTGCATATCATATTCCTGTGAGAGACAATAATTCACATCTTAGGAGCACACAGCTCTTCTCTATCCAAGAGAAGACCAATTCCCTTGAACTGCCTGACAGACTGGTTTCGCTGCACTGGTTCATGTGGTGTCTCTTGGGAGAAGTCTGCACCAAGGCTTCTTGTAGACATAGCTCCAAGAGGAGTCTCCTAGTGAATCTCGGTTCAGCTAGCACTAGTCTGATTCGTATTTAGAAACAGAATTGCTGAAAGTCACTGAGGTCTCTGGCAGAATGTGTGTGTCTTAACTAACAGCTTCAGGCTGTGTTGCTTCTCTTTCCTTCCTGACAGAAGTCATTTTCAGCCAGAGCTGTGTCGCGTTCCCATCAGCGAGCGGAGCACATCCTGAAGAACCTGCAGCAGGAGGAAGAGAAGAAGCGCCTGGGCCGAGAAGCCAGTCTCATCACTGCCATACCCATCACTCAGGAGGCCTGCTACGAGCCAACCTGTACACCAAGCTCAGAGCAAGAAGAAGAAGGTGTGCTCCAGGGCCAGGAACTGCATTCCAGGAACCGGAGAGCACCTGCCACCAACACTGAGCGCTGCTTAGGCGTGTGATGGCTGGGACCTTGATTGTCAGTGTTAGGAAAGTCACAACCACATCCGTTTTTGAAGAGTCATTGAGAGAAAGTGTAATTAAAAATTAGGGCAAGAAAAACACACAACCTTGGAGATATTGAGTGCTCACTGTGTGACTTGAAGCCCCTTACCCCTCTCCCCCCTCTTCAGTGGAACTCGCCAGCATTTAACATCTCAACGTGCCCAGGATCTTGCAGGATTTAACACAATGAGAATATGCAACACTAGGAATGAAATTTGTCTTTCCTAACTTTAACCCTTTAATAATTAAAGAATGGGAGGAATCAGACTCACATCTTAGGACAGGCTGAGTTGCCCCTGGAGTTTTCTACCTTTATGGTGACTAGTGGGGGAGCCTAGATGAATAACTTTGGTCCCTCAGTACCAAACTTTCAGACAGCCAAAGTTACATGACACGAGTTGTGAAAAGCTTAGTCCTTGGGTGATGATTTTCCTTGGCTGAGGCTAGCAGAGCACAAAGATTTCATTAAAGGCATTCCAAGGTATGTGTCATTAGGTCAGTACAGGTCTAAACATATATTGGGATATCTGTGAGCAGAAATCCCAATTCTTAGGAAAAACTAAGCGTCATCTACCATGATCATTAATAAGATGTAGACGAAAAGAAGTATAGAGCCGACTCGGTCACAGTGTGACTCACTGAACACTCTTATGGAACAGTGCTCTGCTGGTTCCCAAGGCATGAGCAAATTACCTCTCTGACTGTTCTTTATAGATTTTAAATTGTCCCTTTTGAGTGTTACCTAACTTGAATTTTCCATGTTCCGATTTGGTTGTAAGTTCTGTGCTTCAGAAAGTTCCCTAAAGTCTCAGTTGGATCTGGACTGACATTTCTCATTCTCTTTGTCAGTAGAAGAAGTTGCCAACCTGGCCTCCCGCCGTCTCTCTGTGAGTCCTTCCTGCACCTCCAGTACATCTCATAGGAACTACTCTTTCCGCCGAGGCTCTGTCTGGTCAGTGCGGTCAGCAGTCAGTGCAGAAGGTGGGTTGACTTCGTTTTGGAGTATCCTCCTGGGATTTCATTCACTGGAAGCGTTTCCTCATCACCCATAAAGCTGGTGGCATTTTCCTTTGCTGAATGTATTCCCAAACTTGAGCCACCACTTTATAATAAATTACTGCCCTGCATTATTTTATTCACCCCTGCTGTCTCAATGTCTTCCCTCACCTCTCACGTTTAATTTAGAGAGTAGTACCATGCAGAGCACTCTAGCTGAAAAATGGTAATGAAATGGTATTTCATCAAAAAGAAAATGGGTTCCTTACAAGAAAAGAAATGTAAATTGAAAAAATATATATTTACAATGAAAATTCTTGATCAAGAAGTTGGCTGGAGGCTCAGTTTCTTCTTGGAGACAGCAGTAAACCTGCTGTGCTTGCACAGTGATCTGACAGCCTGTCACTTTGTTCTGTTTGCTGTACAGCACCTAACAGAAATGTTTATCTAACCTGTCTGGATAATGCCACAGCTTAGTCACTAACTAACACTCACCTTCTACTCTTCTGACTGCTCCAGATGAAGAACATACTACAGAGCATACTCCAAACCACCATGTGCCACAGCCACCTCAAGCTGTCTTTCCAGCGTGCATCTGTGCAGCAGTGCTCCCCATTGTCCATTTGATGGAAGATGGAGAAGTCCGGGAGGATGGAGTAGCTGGTACTGACATCGATTAAACTTCAAAGGGATTCTTGCTCAAGGGTGGCAGGACATGCCAGCGCTTTGAATAATGGCTTATGTTTGTTAAGTGCCATAACTAAAGTGGAAAAGAGGTGTAACACAACCTTGTATTTGCTCACAGTTCATGTTTCCTAGAAGTATTATGTGCTATATATTTTTATGAATATATATGCTTGTTAAAAAGTTAACAAATAATCTATTAAATCCTTCCAAACTATTTGAAAGTAGATTCACAATAGAAATGTGACTTGGTAGGGTTTTTCCTTTTTTTCTCCATGATTGCTGTTTGATTTTGAGGGTTTTTTGCTCTCTTGGGGCTCTAAAAAAGCCCCCAATTCAAGAATGATATTGAGAAGTGAAAAGGGTCTAGTGAGGCGATACCAGGATGGTAAGGCCTAAAGCAGGTGTTCTGTGAGGAGTGATTGCAAAAGCTGGGCTTGTTTGGTGTGATGAAAAAGAAACAAAGAGTTAGGGGAACTCTAACTCAGAGGTTACAACTTGCAAAGTTCAGGTTAGAAATCTGGAAGGAACTTCCTAACCAGAAGCATAGTGCAATTTCTGTTGATTCTCCATCCATAGCAGTCATCAAGCCTTGGCTAGTCAAAGCCGTGGTTGACACAATCTGGTATAGGTGACAGTCCTGCTCCAAGCAGGGCTTGGACTAGAGGTCCAGAGATCTATTCCCACCAGCATTTCTTTGATCCTATGACAAACAGAAAGCCACTATACGCAGCTTGAACATTTTTGTTATGGTCTGTGATGTATTTGTAGAGTAGTAATGCACTTTTTCAGTATTTGATTCTCTAAAATGTTTACTGATAGTGAACTGTTGCCCTTCCTTTCTCATCGCTCATCATGTCAGCTAATTGCACATTTCACTTCCTCTTACATTATTTATTCACTTTTGGGTGGATGTAGTCAGCCACCTAAATAATGTATGTGTGTGTCATTTTGTGATCTGGAACAGAGTACTGAAAACAAAATAATGAATAATTCCCTGTTATTGTTAATCTTCGCAGGATTGCAATTAATTACACTTTGGGGAGTTGATCATCAGCACAATTCGCTGCTGACTGTCTAATACTGTTCACCAATACCAGATAAAATCACTCAGTGAATCAGCATGAAATTGAACTTCTAGGCATGAACAAAAAAGGACATTAATTTATGTTTTTTAATTGCCAGATTTGTCCATCTGAAGTTGTGAATCCAAATAGTTATTTCTTTATTATTCCTTGTTATATATTCTTTATTATTCCCCTGACTACAGCGGTGAAGTGCTTCCTGTTGTATCACTGGTAGTTAGGGAAGGTTCAAATATTAGACCTGTCATTCTTGCTTGAGGTGACCATGCTGGTGACCAGGAGTGCTAGTGCATCGAAAAGGCTCCTGTGTGTTTCAGTACAAAACCAGACAGTTGTGGTAGAAGGTTCGGAACGTGTACCAGTTCAAGGCTTTTCCAAGGGAGGCAGTTCTGACCTTGTTTTCTTTCTCTCTTCCAGTAAGTGCTGTTGCTCAGCAGGTCCTGTGGAACTGCTTAATTGAAGACCCCTCTACAGTTCTGCGCCATTTCCTTGAGAAGCTCACCATCAGCAACCGGCAGGTAAACTCTTCCTCTCCCCAGCGGGGGTGTGTATTGCTTAGAGCAGGGGAGCACAGCTGCAAGCAGCATCACCCTGGGGGCATCACTGGAGAGGGACGTTTGCTGTTATAATGTAGCTCAAACTCTTTTAGGCGGTATCATCAGTTGGCCTCAGTCTTTGTCCACTAATGTCAATGGGACAAAGCTGATTTACCACCACTGAGGACGTGACTTGCTCTAAGCCAAGCTTTGAACAGCTGCTCAGTGAAGCACAACCGTTTCTATCTAACCTAGGCAATATTGCCTCCACTCATGCCCTCTGTTCAGCTTTCTCTGAAAGATGGGAGTGGCCTTGTCTCTCCCTGGTTTCTTTGTAGTGCCATGGCTAAGCTTTATGGAAGAAAGACATACCAGTTCTGACTGGATAAAAGCAGTGAGACTCTCCATACCACTTTCTCAACTGCACGCTTGGTGTACGATATCAATAGTATCACTGTCCTCATCTTCCAAGACGCCACCTAAGAACTGACTATGAAATGAATATTAAACCTTGAGAAAGGCCACGAAAGGCTGCTTTTTCGTTCTTGAGTGATCAGATCTCAGTGGCCTTGCCGTTCCTGAAACTTCCCAGCCATAGATAGTCCCCAAAGCTTCTATTTAAGTTCAGAGAGTCACTTCTGATTAAGTGTCTTTGAGAAGGAAGCTATACCCTGTCCAGCCTCAGAGGCCTCTGAGCTGACATAGTCTGTTGTTTTACCATCTCTTCATAGGCCTACCACAACAGTGAGGACAGAACACAGACAGCGGGTGCATTTCCTTGGAAGCTTTCAGCAGATGTATCATTGGCATGGGTTGTCCTATGCATATTCATGCCCATGACAGTAGCTGAAATCTGCTATGGGTTAAGAGGATGAGGGCTATAGGAGAAATTTATGATACAGTCTGTCCTTAGCTGACAGTGAGATTCCTTCCCCTCTAGACCCTGGTCCCACCATAAGAAGTGTTTTAATCTACATTTAAAGCAGGCAGCCTCTAAAGAAAGAAAAGTTAGATTCTGCCTGCACCTCCTACCCAGCAACCACAGCTCTTGGGCTGAACTAGATTTCACAGATATCGAGGTAGTCATTTGTTGTGATAAGCAACACAGGGATTATCACAGGGAGAGGACTGCAGAATCAGGATGCCACAGTACAAATTGCAATAGGAGCTATTGGCCTCTCTAAGATAATAAAGACAGACGTTGACCTGGATGCTGTGCCCTGGGCCTTATTTTGGGAAATGTGGGCGCAATCACAAACATATAGTTCTACTTCATGCACCAAGAGACACGGCTGAACAGAGGAGAATGGGAAAAATGAACAAAACAAAGCCAGAGAGGACAAAAGGGAGAAATTAATTCTCCATTTTGTGATGAAAAGAAAAAAAACGTTTGCTCTTCTTCCAGGATGAGCTGATGTATATGTTAAGGAAGCTTTTGTTGAACATTGGAGACTTCCCTGCCCAGACATCTCATATTCTCTTTAACTACTTGGTAAGTAGCTTGTGGGTCTACTCTGCAGGCTGCAATCTCGCCTCTGACTGCATGTGTCCTAAAAAGTTAATGTCACAATCTGCAAGGAAATAAATGCTCTTAACTTTTACTATACAGCTCGTACCTGCTTCTGGCTGTGGGTGAAATTCCCCAGGCTTACACCAGCTTTTCAGTCCCATCTAGGGAGAGCAAAGAGAACCATTAACTTTTTATTAAACCCCCTAAGCAACCTGTCATGAATTTCTGAATTGAACCATGGACAGTGAATTTTAGACCAGTGGAAGGATCCCAGTGCCAGAAACCCTTAATTATTTTACTTAATTTTGATTCAGAAAGTGTTTTGCTGTTGAATGGTCCTATTGGAGCAAATGTAGCAGCTTCTTTCAAGATTGTGGAAAACGCATTTGCTGCAGTTAGGAGATGAAACAGACAAGATGTACGCTACTCCAAGAGCCTCCTGTTGTTTGCAAGTTGTCTATGTGGCATCACACCAGAGCAGAAGGCATAGGGAGTCTTTTACTGCAGAGGTTCTGCCTTTTCCTCATCCACAATGGTTTTTAAGGCTGGGCTGCAACAGTAATTTTTTCCCTTAACCCTCATCCTCTCTAGAAAAAGGAAGAATAGTGTAGACAGATCGTTCTGTAGTATGTATAAACTTTCAGGATGTAAGTTTAATGAGTTTATCCCTCTGAGTGAAGAGAGATAGGAGGACAGTATTCTTGTTCTGTGTTTATACAATGCTCCGCGCAGCTAAAAGAGTGTGCATAACCTGATATTTCTCTTACTTATTACCTGCAGGTAGGACTGATCATGTATTTTGTACGCACTCCATGTGAGTGGGGCATGGATGCCATTTCTGCCACACTTACCTTCCTTTGGGAAGTGGTGGGTTATGTAGAAGGACTCTTCTTCAAGGATCTCAAACAGACTATGAAGAAGGAACAATGTGAAGTGAAGCTGCTGGTGACTGCCTCAATGCCAGGTACAGGAAATGAGTCTTTAAATCTCCTTCACTTCCAAGTTCATGGCCTACTCTACCAAAAAGGAGATCCATCAGAGCTGGATCAGAAAAAGACCTGCTACAAATGGCTGTATATTCTAAGTCAGTTTTTGTTGAGTTGAGGATTCAGTCAGTAAATTCCACCTCTAATTCCCTGAGATTCAGAAAAGCACTTTGACGGCCCTAAAAAAAGCAAACAGAAAGTGAATTAGAACAATCTTTTCAACCCAGAGCTTTGTGCCAGTTGAGCTGTGAAAGGCTGGCACGATGACCAGTGTAAAAAACTGTATCATTCAGACACAGTTTGATTTGATGCAACCTCTTATTTAAGTCTTGAGAGAGCCCTAGAAGAGCATACTGTGAGCCTAGATGTCATGAGTCAGGCAAGAGGTATCTTGCTGAAAAACAAGTTTGACCTTTAAGGTTTGTTCCTTCCTCAGAGTGACAGTTGCTGCTAAAGCCAGCTCATCCTTTAGGAACAGATCGATTTCTCATTAACGGTGGAAGCGTGAGACTATGCTAACACTACATAGTGGATTCCAGACAGGACTGGCGTTGTCTGTCTGCCCAGGAATGAATTTTAACTATCACTTTTCCTCCATGGGCAATCTTTTGGAATTGAGTTAATTAAAGAGACCAGGGAAGATGCAGCTGCTTTTCTTCCTTCAGGCACAAAAACGCTTGTCGTGCATGGACAGAATGAGTGTGACATCCCAACTCAGTTACCAGTCCATGAGGACACACAGTTTGAGGCTCTTCTGAAGGTAGGAGTGAGTTTTTGAACCGGTCAAACTGCTTAACAGTACATTTACCTGCCGTACCTGTATGCAGCAACACGTTCTGCCTGATCATCCTGTTCCATTGTCGGGGAGGGAAGTTTTGCTGACAGGCATTTCTGCCTCCCTGTGAGGAGAGCTTGGCTGCAAGAAACAGGATCCCATATTAAAGTACAGTAGAAATGCCTTGACCTCACAGACAGCAAAAATCCCACAAATGCAACTACATTTGAAGACACTGCAGCTAGTTGGGTATTTGACGTACACTATCCTTTAGGTAAATACAGAAATCATTTAAATGTTTGGTTTTGTCAACACTAAACAGAATGATCAAGATCAGAGTGGAAATGATGGTTCAATAGCCATGATGGTATCTTGGGATCTAGGAGATGTGAGGTCAGTTCCCCCTCCTGCTATAGATTTCCTGGATGGCCTTAACTGAGCCACATAGGAAAGAGATTTGTAAAAGCCTTCAATTTGTCCAACTATGTTAAATTTTAATGAGAATCACACATCTCAGTGCTTTGAAGGATCAGAACTTTAGTGTCTCTATACATCAGCTATCACTAAAGCTTGATAAATACAAGGTATGGAAATGGAAGCTGCAATATGCATGTGGCACATATAGCTAGGCAAATATGTGTGAGATGAAGACATCGAAATAAGTAACATCAGTCTTCAGGACTGTGATATCATCATACCTTGATTGTCACAAACATATTAATGTACTTTATGATTAAAAAATGAAATTTAAAATTAATGCCAGAACAGTATACCAGCATGACTGAGGCATGCAGGTTTGTGCCTTTATATGTTATTAGCTGGGTATTCTTCTTTTGGATGTTGTGGTCTTTGTACAAGACAGCTAATAAGTTTTTCTTTCTTCCTTTTCAGGAGTGTTTGGAGTTTTTTAACATACCCGAAACACAGTCTTCTCATTACTTTTTAATGGATAAGCGATGGAATCTTATTCATTACAACAAGGTAAGGCAAAGGTCAGGTCCAGATGACTTTGTTCTTTCCATCTTGTCCCTTTTTCAACATCACGGTTACCTAAAGGAGAACAAGCAGCCCATAAATAGAGAGAATTCTGTCTTTTGGGTGTTTAGTTGCGTTCGGTGAAAGATGGGAGTTTGACAGAAGAGGCACAAGTGGAGTCCCTTGCTCTTTAAGTCATTAATGTTTAGCTTTCTTAGAAAAGAGCAAATTTCTTTTCTGTTTATACTCTTCCATGATGCCTGACCCTGCCTGAAAGCCCCTACCCAAAAGCTTCAGAAAGGGCTAAAGGGCCTTTTATTCAGTTCCATCGAGTGATGCTGTCACGATTACATATGTTTAAAATCCACTTGTTTCCTTTCCTGGCAGACCTACGTCCGTGACATTTATCCTTTCCGGAGGTCAGTTTCTCCCCAGCTCAACCTGGTACAGATGCATCCAGAAAAGGGTCAAGAGCTCATTCAGAAGCAGGTATCGTACTGTCCCCAAACACCTCTACCCAGAAACAAACCCTGTAAATACGCTTTTCTTTTCCCTTTAAAGGCCTGCGCTCGTGCTGCATGCAGATAGAGAACTTTGCTGGAGAAGTAGCAATTGGCATGAAATCTGCCCTGGTGCCATTGAACAGGCGTTTGGTATTTTAAGAAGAGTCAAAGAATGCGATGTGTTTTCCAGCCAGCTTCTTTTAGGTGGATCATTTTGCATTCTCCTACACTTGGCTGGAAGAGCTTCAGTTGCCTCAGCTTCAAAAGTTACTTAGTCATTTCTTTAGCATGACCTCTGGCTGTGGAGCAGGAGTTAGCTGTTCTACCTTCTTCTCTGCCCTCTCCCTATAGAGGATGTTACCAGCCTCTCTTCCTTGTCCTGCTCTCAGATGCTGGAATTTTACCATAGCTACTCCCAGAGGCACAGCATTGTTTCATCAGGGGACTATCTGCCCTCAGAAGAGCACCGTCCTCCCTATGGTCCAGCTCATGACTTGATAATCTGTCCCATCCTGCTAATGCTGTGCAGCTCTAGGAGCTCCCCCTTAGGAGCTAAGCCCTAACTACAGTGGCAGGGCAGTGCCTTTAATGTGCCACAAACCCCTACGAGTATCATTTCTGAGGCAGTAAGACAATGGTATTGAGCTCACTCGTAGAAGCGACGTGCTCTGTTTTTCACAAAAGCAAAGTTGTCTCAGTAGCACAGCGCTGAGTGTTTAGGGAAAAGTTGCTCTAGCTGTATCTGCAAAGGATGATAAGTAGGAAGTAAAAGGCAGGGGGATGTGGTTAAACAGTATGAGTTTCGTATGAACAGTTGTATTATTCTAGCCAAAAAACAGCTGCTGTAGTTGTATCCCTAGCAATGTGAGTGCGGGGGCAGGAAAATATCACCAGGAATGTCTATAAAAAGCAGCTATAAAGCTGCTTAAGAGGTACTAGGAGCTAAAATAATGGAGAATATAGTTAATTCCATCTCATATGTGTCTGGTACAGAATAGGTAAATATTTTATGTGCTTCATCTGTCAATAGAAAGTCTATAAAAATCTGAAATTACTTGAGATCATTTTGGTTGCTTCTCTGACAGAAATTATTCTCACTCTGGTTCTAGGAGATGTGTCCCACATAGCAAATAAATGAGTTTGACATGCCTTACATGACCCAAAAAGATTAAAATGTCCTGTCCAGTTTTGTCAGGGCATTAGTTTGCATTCCACATTTTTCTGCTTAGAGTACTTAAAGCCAAAATATTTCTAAGGTAAAACTTAAATCAAGCATCTACCAGCCTCTCTGTAGTCATGCAAGAAGTTGCTGTACAACATCCAGCTTCAGCAAAGAAAACAGCACTGTAGAGTCTACCAACAGAGCAGCAATCCATGGAAAAGTACTTTCTCTACTGTTGATTGACTGAGCACCCGATTCTGTGAGTGCACTTCAGAGCAAGGTCATAGCAACTGCAGGACGTGGGAAGCTGAGCCACATGCTTCAAGTTTTGGCTTCATCCCAGTAGCTGAGAGCTGTCTCGAAGCTGCTTCCAGACAGTTGCTTCTGCTACTGAGCATCACTCTGCTTTATGGTTACTTTTAGCATCAAAATAAAATAGCTAGCCTGACTAGTCCTATCAGTCAGAAGTTCAAAGGAGGCTGGCTTCCCAGTTGGTGTAAACCAGAAGCAATAATCTGAAGTCAGCAGAACTTTGCTCATTTGCAGTAAATCAGAATCTGCTCTGCTGTGTTTTACTGACTATTTTTCTTTTGCAACTATATATACACTTTCTATGGCCAGACACGAGCCAGCGTCAACCAAGAAGGTAGATGACAATTCCAACTTCATGTTGACTACAGTCTAAGACCTTGAAGAGAACAACTGCAGCAATATGGCTTTCAGTTTGGAGCTGGTTTGCCTCTGACCACCTTGAGATTCACACTGGCAAAACTTACATTAATCTACAAAAGACCACATGGCACCGTTGCAAAGTGTTTGCCAACCACTCAGGGTCCTCCACAAGACTGAAACAGAAAGTCCTGTTAGAACCTCTTTTACAAATATGATCCATATTTGCAGAGCGGGGCCGAAGAGTGGTGGTCATGCAAGTTCTAGTAACAAGGGTGCAGCACTAGCCCTGTGAATTTCAACAGGATCCCCTGGGCATGAGTGCAGCATCTCTCCCATCAGAGAAAGCCACGGAAGCCCACCTAGAAAAGTGCATATATGTTGTAAAGAACTTTTTGATCAGACTGATTCTGATCCTTGTCTCTTTCTCTCTCTCAGGTGTTCACCCGCAAGCTGGAAGAGGTGGGTCGGGTGTTGTTCCTCATATCACTGACACAGAAAATCCCTACTGCCCACAAGCAGTCCCATGTATCTATGCTCCAGGAGGACCTCCTCCGCTTGCCTTCATTTCCCCGAAGTGCCATTGATGCCGAGTTCTCACTCTTCAGTGATCCCCAAGGTATGGCCTTTGATAGCTTTCCCTGGTGGTCGTATGGGGCCCAGGTTTCTTCGTTTGCCATGGAAACATGCAGGCTCCATTTGCCTTAGAAACACACAGGCTTGTCTCTTCCTAGGGAAAACGATACACAGCTGTTGGTTTGTGAGCACAACAGCAGAAAGGGCTTTGCTGTTAGAGGTCTCCAGACAAAGCTACTTTCTTTGGGCCCAAATGAGAATAAATTCTATTGATGTATTCAAATTATGCATGAGACTACAGCGGGAATACTGTGTCCAGTAGCATAACTGCACCTAAAAAGCATTGCTCAGAGTCCTTTGCCGTTTGCACCTCAAGGAAGCAATGGACTTCTAGTGAAGACTGGGCAAATTCTGCAGCAGGGATATAGAAACAGCCCTCTTTTTAGAAACTTTGCTCTGAAAGTCAAGTGGGGCTTCCAGCTGGACTTGGGGATTAAGCAGGCCACTTGCAGGATGTGGTAGGCATTGGTAAGTTCTGTAACAGGCCCTTTGCTTTCAGAATTTGCCCTAATTTGCTTTCAGAAGCATTACTGTAACTCTGCATCCATGTCCTGTCATGTGTGGGACGCTCGAAGGATGCATGTGCACGCTCAGATCTGCTCTCACATTTTAGGAGGAGAATTTCTAACCAGTGGGGAGCAGATTTAATGAGCTGTGTGATATTCATCACTCTTCCTCTTCATGTGTGTTGCTTTCAGCCAGGGTTTGCTCAAGCTCTGTGGGCACTTGCAGAAGTAAAGGATGGGTGAAATAATTTTTAAAAGGCAGAACAATGGTCAGTGTTGTGGGACAGTTCTTTGGAGAAGTCTTTGGCCTCTGGGATGTTGTGAGGCTGGCTGTGGTGGACAGAGTTGATTGCTGTTGCCTCTTCTCCCCTGCAGCTGGGAAAGAACTCTTTGGTCTGGACACTCTTCAGAAAAGCTTGTGGATTAAGCTGCTGGAGGAGATGTTCCTTGGCATGCCCAGTGAGTTCCCCTGGGGGGATGAGATCATGCTGTTCTTGAACGTCTTCAACGGTGCCCTGATCCTGCACCCTGAAGACAGTGCCTTGTTGAGGCAGTACGCTGCCACAGTCATCAACACAGCTGTGCACTTCAACCACCTCTTCTCCCTCAGCGGGTACCAGTGGGTCCTCCCCAGCATGTTGCAGGTGAGCCATTTCCATGAACAATATGAGGGAAGGTTTCTGAGAGAGCACTTTTTTTATGGAACTGACTGTTAATGGAGAAACTTTAAACTGCTGAGTCCTGGCGAGATCACAGGTTTTGGGGGCCCCAAGAAGACAACAGATCAGGGTGGGATGGCCCGAATCAGCATTCCTGAGGCTACATTCCCTTTTCTTCTGGAGTAAATGACTACATTTTCTTTTCTTCTTTATGTTAAGTAAATGAGTATCTGTTTCCCTTACTGGGTACTTCCACACAGAAATGTGAAATTTCTTGAAAATTTTTGGACCTTGGATCTTCTTAATGATTTTTCCTCCAGGGATGGCTGAAATTTGGGGAATAGTTGAAATATCTGTATTTGCTACTTGCTGATTGAAACTAAACTGTATCCACTTCTTTAAGTATGATAATTGTATTATCTGCAGTTTAAATAGCAACAGAAAGTAACAGTAAATATTTATGAAAAACTGTACGTTGTCTTTCCATGTGAGTGATGACAAATATTGGAAGTGTTAGAGGTGGAGTTTCTCTTCACTTTGAGGTGTACAAGTATGCTTTCCTGTTGACGTTTGAGAAAAATCAAAAATAAAACCCCCGACAATATAGTTCTTTTACAGACAGAAAGATGATTTCTGCAGGGCTTGAAGACAGTATCTGAATAGAGATTTAGTATTATAATGCAAATACAGGGAAAACTATTGCTCCTGTAAAAGAAGCAATGACCATGACATCCCTATGTGTGTTCATTTTAACATAGTTAACAGAGCACAATAATTAGGAGCAGTGATGAATTTAGCTGTCTAAACAAACTCTTCAGTAAACGGAAACTAATATCACACTTTCATGGTTAGGTAAGTATGTATTGGATCCAGGTCTGCAGTGCATGGGTTTATTCATTAGAAATAAGACATTTTGAAATAAAATCACGTAATAGCTTAATTTGAAGAAATTGGCAGTAACCATCCGGCCCTGTGAAGGACTCTCCCTTCATTTTCACTTTTCATATTGAGAGAAATTAGTTTTGTAATTCTTTTTTAGCTTCACCACCCCTTTCCCTTAGCAATTATTTTCAAGTACTGAATTAATAAAATACCACTCTTGGGAGGCAAAAAAGCAATTCTGAAAGAAAACTCAAGTGTCGCCGCATTTGTTTGTTTTTGCAGACCCTCACATTTCTGTTCCAGGCACCCGAGATCAGCTGGTTTGTTTGTGGTCATCACAAACAAATTCTTCTACCACTTCTGGGCTTGAACCAGCCATTAATAGCTTAGTTCCTGATGCATGTGTGCACATAGCCCCACGGGGCTCTTTTTGTTGCAGATTTTTCTGCTTTCCTTGGTGAAATGCATATATACTTAATTATTTCCCTTTTCTCAAGTGAATGAGATATTGCAAGTGTAACAGGCCATGGTCATTGGCTCTTCTCATGAGCATGCTAGAGGCTTCTGACTGTATTAGACATACTAATTTCTTCAGCCTACTAGGCTACCAAGAAGTGAATACGTCTCTGCAGAGCTCTCACACACTAATAATTTTTTAGAAACCTTCAAGAGCGCTGTGCTGTAATGAAAATTTTGCACTACCATAACATTTAAGAATTAACCTGTTGCCAGCAAATAGCAAGAAAATCTTGCCTACCCCCACCCTACACCTCCCACAGACTTGTACCTGCAGGGAAGTGCAGGCAGGCAATTGAAATGGACAGAAGAAGGAAGCACAGTGAAGTTGTTCCTAGCAATTTGTGCTGTTTGCATAACTGAGAAACAAATCCCACATCTTTGGCAGCATACTGGTTGCATGGTTCAGTGGGCAGCCCTGAAGGAAATGCCACTCTAAAAACCTGAAAATATCTTAAAAGTGGGTGGAACTGTCAGTGTGTTGGAGGACAGGCTAGGAGTTCAAATTATCGTGACAAACTGGAGATGCAGTCTGAAAAAAAGGGGAAAAAAAAAAAAGGGATTATGTTGATCAGGTTGGACAAGCGTAGGTCCTCACTTAGGAATAATCAGCCATATAAATATGGAAGGGAATGTAGCTGATTCAGTAGCACTTCTGCAGGGCATAATATAGGACTTGTTATAGACCTAAAGCTAAACATGAATCAACAGTGTCCTTCTGTTGAAGGATAAAAAAAGAAAACATCTCAAATGCCATTCTGGGATGACTATTACAGATTTGTATCTTGTGAAAGAAACATGGAATAATTCTGCTGCTCCAATCAGCAGCACTCCTGACTTGAAGTGCTGGCTCTGTCCAGCTGTGGGCAATGCACAAAAAACATCTGTTGGCTGAAGAGACCGCAGACTGGAACAGGGATGTATATCTAGAAAACATGTCATGTGAGAAAGGGGTGAAAGAGCTTGGATTTGATTAACTGAAAAAGAGGCAGATTGAAGAGGAAAGCACTGACTCACCTCAAACAAGTAAAGTGTTTCTAGGAAGGAGCAGCAGGGAATCTACCTCAGACACATAGGACAAAAAATAATGGACTAAAGCTGTGACAAAGAGGGTTCAAGCATGCCAGGCAAACCTGTTTTCTAAGGATTGCTTGTCCCTAAAATGCGCTGCCAGGGAGGGCAGTCAAGTCTCCATCTCTAAAAACACGGTAGGCAAATATATCGGGAATGACAACGTAGTTGATGCAGGCTGGGGTCAGGACACGAAGAGCCCTTCCACTGGAGTAGTACTTCCATGTCCTTTTTTTTGCTCAGGTGTACGCTGACTACGAAAGCAACCCCCAGTTACGCCAAGCGATGGAGTTTGCGTGCCGCCAGTTCTATGTTCTGCATCGCAAGCCTTTTATTCTGCAGCTGTTTGCGAGCGTGGCCCCTCTCCTGGAGTTCCCTGTGAGTAAATGCCATTCCCTAGTCGCAGCCTGTGTGTGCAGCAGCCCTCGTCAGAGACTGCAGAGAGAAAACAGCTGGAGCAGCAGCACGGTTCTTACGGAACCTGTGTTTGCTGCTGCACGGAACCGTTTCGTGAACTTATTTCTGCATGCTTCTGTTGTCAGCTGATTGAGCAGGATGCTGAGATAATGGGCCACTGGTATCCAGGCTAGTAAATGCGGTTTCTGTGTATAAATAGGTTATAAAAGGGCAATAATGATTTGTAACTCTTGAGACGCAAATCCCTTCTCAGAATCCAACAACAGGAACTAAAAGCGTAATGCCACGTTTTAGTACACTTGAATCATAGAATCATAGAATGGTTAGGGCTGGAAGGGACCTTCAAAGGTCATCTAGTCCAACCCCCCTGCAAGGAACAGGGATATCTCCAACTAGATCAGGTTGCTCAGGGCCTCGTCCAACCTGGCCTTGAACGTCTCCTTGAACTATAAGACTGGATTAGCCACGTTTTGGAATATTCACTAATTACTGTCTAACATTTTAGTGAGTTAAAACAAGTTAATAGGATTGTAATTTGAAGTGGGATGGCCAAATCTAACTGCACATACACTGTAAGCACACACATCTTTCTCCTTCACAGGGCAGCAAAGATGTGCTCTTTTGGGGAAGTAATGCTGTGTGTGCTTTCCAGATCATGCTTCCACTCTAGCATCGATCTGTTGAGTCAGTCAAGGCTTATTGTTTGGTAGCAGTGAGCTCTTGGACTCCATGTGGGCCCTTTGTCAAAAAAAGAGGTTGCCCATACCTTCAGATAAAGATTCCTGGGATGCACGCAGGCCCTCAGCAAATCAACCACGAATGTCTGTTGTTGAAACAGGATGCTACAAACAATGGAACCAGCAAAGGCGTGTCAGCTCAGTGCCTGTTTGACCTGCTGCAGTCCTTAGAGGGAGACACTCCAGACATTTTGGACATCTTAGAGCTGGTGAAAGCAGAAAAACCTCTCAAGTCATTAGGTAACAGCAAAGCTCCCTTTATTCAGTAATTCTGGTTTGTTGTTTATTGATTTAACATGTGTTTGATGCAACATGGTTTGTTCAGATTTGTTCTTCTCCCAGAATGCAGTCCTGTCTGTTTCTTATGCTTCATGAGGCTTTTAAGGTTGGCTTTACCACCACCATCCTTTTGATATTTTCTGCAGGAGGGCAATTATTAATTAATTTTATTCCAAAGCTGCTTTTTCTGCATTGAGCCTGCTAGTCTGAGACTAGCCCCTGGCATTTTGAATTTTATCATGTGTGGGTGAAGAATAGAGATGCCTAATAAACTGTATCGTGCTGATAAGATCAGTGTCATCCGCTCTTCTGCTCTATGTGGGCAGGAAAATAAAGATCCTCTCCTGTGGGCAGGCTATGACTAATAAATGATGGATGCCATTCAGACATTCAACAGTGTGCTGAGTTCTAGGGGGTGTGTGTTGATTTATCACAAAGCAGAATATATTTGGCTGTATGATGTGTCCAGGACACTGTGTCACTTGATAGTTATCCATGCAATGCAGCATTTAAGAATCTGACTACTTTGTGATTTCCAGGGAAGCAATTTTTGCTGATTTTTATCAGGATTTCAACTTATTTTCCAAATTTGCACTTCCCTTAAATAATACGTATTTTGATGATCTGTGAAGCCTGTCTAGCCTTAGAGTTAAAGCTTTGTTATACACTGAGATTTTTATGATGCTGCACAATTATATCCCAAGTTTTAATACAAAATTGTGCAGAAACAGAAGATATTTCTTTCTCTTTGTGGGTTGTAGTAAACATATAAAATCTTTGGATTTTCTGTGAAGAGTTATTCAAAGGCATCTCTGAAAATTCCCAAGTGTGTGTTGATGATGAGACTGTAGATGAGCATGTCGTGTGCCTGGTATTCTCCATGCGAAAATCAGAATTATGTAAAACGTCTGATTTCCAAGTGCTGTTGTTCAAAGTGATTTACACGCTGTGGGACCTTAACTTTGACTTGGACTCCTGTATAACAAAGTCACTTCTGAAAACAGGACTATAGTTGTACTACAAATATTATTCTTTAGATACTTCATTTTCTTGGTGCCTGACACTAATTATCCCCAAAGTAATATTTGTAGTATGGGACTTAAATACTTTTGAAAACTTTTTCTCAAATCATTGGCAAACCAGACTTACTTTTGTGCTGGTGCCCATGCGGCAACGAGTATAGAAGGGGCTTGATTTTTTAGAAGTAAAACTATCTTCTATCAGTGGCGAATCAGCATCATTTTTAGAGCAGTGGAAATATCTAGGAAAAAGCAGAGGGAGCATAAAAATTGTCATTGAGTTGACACTGTCCTTTCACCTGTGAGCTTAAGATTTTGCTTGTGATGGGTGATGTTTGAAACGGGGCTTCAGTAGCAGCTGTAGGCCTTACAGCAATGATTTGACCTACTGAGAACTGTTTCTCACCTACTGAGTTCTTGGACAGCAGGGTGCAAGTGGGAGTGCAGTATGTGTTTCCCTTATACAGATGGACTTATGTCAAAAATCAAGAGCCTATTGGGGATTGCTAAGATGAGAAGCTATCAATTGAAGAGGGGGAAAAGGAAGGAGTGTGCTAGCTCCTTTTATATTCAGTATGTTTGTGTGATAGTCTTCTCATTGCTTTATTCCCCCAGATTTCTGCTATGGGAATGAAGACTTGACCTTTTCGATCAGTGAAGCCATCAAGCTGTGTGTGACAGTGGTGGCCTATGCTCCTGAATCATTCAGAAGGTGCTAATCTGTTTTCTTGGTTTGTGCAGACTCGGAAAAGGCATAAAAGCTGCATATGGCATGTAAAAGCAAGGCTGACAAATGGAGGCAGAGGATACAGAAACGCATTCCAAGCACGGGGCTTCTTTGTGAGGCCAAGGCTCTGCCTGTAGGCATCTTTCTGAGGGCACCAGCTCCAGATCTTGCCAGCGCTAAGCTGGATGGCAGTCTGAGCAGCAACATGCAAACTATTTCCAAGTGGAGACCACATTGTGTCCTGCAGGGTTCTATTGTCAGAGAAGCAATGGAGAGGGAAATGGAGGGGGAGAAACAGGCAGCTGGAAAGAACAGGAAAATACAGAGAGAGGGGAGGTAAACTGCTAAAGCAAAAAGGTTAGTTTCCAAGAGGCAACCGGGGAAGAAAGGAGTCTTTGGAAGGGAAAATGAATGTCTGCAAATGGATGAGATATTCAGAAGATACCCAGAAGTTGCAGGTTGTTTTTATTATTCCCGTTTCATGCATCAGCTAATTTTCCCCCTGAAGTCCCTGATCCGTGAGTTTCTTTGGCCCAGGACTGCTTATCTAGTGAGAAGCAATGAAATCCCAAAGCTAGTGAGAGACCCAGGGGTCTTCAGATAGAAACTTAAGCCTCTGCCTGACGTGAGTTTCAGGACTGACAAAATAAAACAGGCCAAGTATTGGTTATTTTTCCAGCCTCCAGATGCTGATGGTCTTGGAAGCGCTGGTTCCCTGTTACTTGCAGAAGCTGAAGCGACAGACCTCTCAGGCGGAGACTGCGACGGCAGCTCGTGAGGAGATCGCTGCTATGGCTGCCCTTGCCACCTCTCTGCAGGCCCTCCTGTACAGCGTGGAAGTCCTCACCAGGTATCCCACACGGTCCAAAGGTCCGAGCCTGCCCTGGGTTGTCAGTGTGGGGACAGGGGATGCACAGGGGGTCGCGGGATACAGCTCAGCTCGAAGGACGGTTGAGTTTTAGACTTGGTGGAATCGGTGCCAGGTTCCAGCAGACCACAAGCAGGATTTCAGTGTTAGGTTTGGTCTTCAGTGTGCTGTCCCCCTTCCCTTTGCCAGGCCTATGACAGCCCCACAGATGAGTCGATGTGACCAGGGCCACAAAGGGACCACGACAGCAAACCACACCATGTCAGCAGGCGTCAACACCAGGTAAGTCAGAGGCTTGTCGTTCTTTCTCATCTTTCTGAACAGCTTTGTTGTGTTTTTTTTCTTTTAAATAAGGTAACAGCTCATTGCTCGGAGTGCTTGGAGCACCTCCCCAGCTGTCTGAGGAATTGCTGTAGGTACTGTGAGAGAAAAGAGTCAGATAAAAAGAGCACATAGTCCAGGACTGCATTTCTGATGGTAAACAAAATCCCCAAGACTGGAATTGCTAGTTTAAAGCCCTGTGACTAAATAGAATACTGGGATATCAAACTGGAGGACACCCATCCTAAATGTCTTTGTTTCTCTTTCCACACTCTAGAAGCATACTGACAAATCAGCCATGTCTCTCCGTTCTCTGCTTTGCTTCCTTCTGAGCCCACTGTCAGAGTGACCACTGGGCAGAGCACACCTGGACAGCAGAAGGGTCGGATCCTTCTGGCCTTGTTCCAAGAGGCTGAACAGCAGTACCAGCTCAAACTGCATGTCAGTTGAGACTTGCAGAGACTGGCACCTCCTCCAGTTTTGTTTTCTTCTCTTTCCTGTTTCCTTTTCCTACGGTCTCTATCATCTTTACCTCCGCATTGATCTGTTTTGGGTTTTTTTTGCAGTTATAGATAGCAAAGGAATGGGTGGCAGAGAATTTGAGAGAAAGGGAAGAATGACTGGGAATATTTTTGTCTTTAAAAAAAAAAACGAAACCAAAACAGAAAAAAAACCCACAAAAAAGACTTCACAGAGAAAAGGGAAATAAGGAAGGAGATGGCACCAGCAGACTGTAATACTGCTCCTTGGCCATATTGGCCATTCCAGTTAGACTGATGCAAATTAGATCAGGCCACTGGACAATTTACTCAATCATAGAGCCAAGGGCTTAAGAAATCTTGTTACAAAATCCACCCACAAGCATTTGGGATTATGAAGGTTTTCTTTGCAGTACTGATTACTCTTTTGGGCAGCTCTGCCTTCTCCTGGCCAGACTATACCTTATTGTGCTTAAAATCTGAATGTTTGTGCTGACCTCAGAAGGGAATTCTCCCCTAGAAAAAGCTGGAGTAGCTGTTCTTCCAGAGCAGAGTATTTCCTCTAGATTCCTCTTTTGCCTCCAACAGCTGATTTTAAGTCTCTGCCCAGCCAATAGTCTAGTACAATACCATGAGTTGTATAGGACTGTAAATCGGGAGCACCCTTCTGGCAAGACCGGCTTTCCAAGTTATTCCCTGTCTTCTTTTGTATTGAAGGGAGATAGAAATCACTCTCTACGTGGATCATCAAAGGGCTGTTACATCAATTTGTAGATGTGCAGCACACACATCATTGTTGGTAACTCCTGGAATCAGTCTGTTATTCTTCAAGACCAATTCAGGCATGGATGAAACACAGCTTTGACTTTCAATCTCAGATCTGAGAAGCAAATAAACCCCTTCAGGCTCAAGTCTGAAGTGGTTATATGCCATTTACTTCCAGTGTAAGATTGCATAGTCTGAGGAGAATAAGGTGTAAGGGAAAGCAGTGCTTTATTATTTGTCTGCTGATTTTGGAGAGCAGTTAATGTGTATCTGCTGACAGGCAATGCAGAGACTCCTGATGCTGCGTGACTCAAACATCTTGGTTTACATTTCCAGATCTTTCTGATCATCAAACCTTCAGTCTCTAATCCAAAATATTTTTGCACCGCTCCACATTTCCTGCCCGTGTTTCTTCTGTTGTGTTATCATTGCAGCAGACATCTGCTAGCAACAGCAGGAGTCTCATGATGGTAGAACGATCACTGTTCCAGCCTTGGACGTGTTAGCCAAGTGGTGCAGTGTTTGTTAATGCTTTCTCAACAAGAAAGTGCCAAGAGAAAATGACAACAAAACAAAAACAAAAAAACTCTGAGATATTCTTTCCACTAGGTGAGCTCTGGCTTCATGAAACAGACTGAGCACTGGGGTGAGAATCAGTAAGAGGAATTGCTTGAAAGGCGGCTGTGGTTTTTAAGCCTGAATTTTTCCTTTCGTAACAAGGGCATTAACTGTAGCAATCTGTTGTTTGCTGCCAGCTGGGAGCTAAAGGCCATTCACTGTGGTCACTAACTACGTGTAGCCATTGTTCCAGTGATACAAGATACCCTCCTGCCCATGGTGGGTCTAGTCCTGGGCTAGAACAGTGGCACCTTCTTTCAGAAAGGCACAGTTCAGGCATTACTAAGTTGCTGTTTACAACTGCACTGTTTCTCTTTTCCCAGGTATCCAGAACAAGGAGCCAAACTGCACTTTATCAGGTACAGTAACATCTTCCCCCAATCTTCCCTGACGTACGCTGAACTGTTCCCCAACAGTTTCCAGGTTCACTGGGTCCCACTCACTGTTGCTGTGACAAGCAGCCTTTTTTCAGGGAAGGGTGGCAAAGGATAGTTCATATAGAAATTATTCATATTCTTAACAAGACTTTGCAGGTGATAATTCCACCTCAACTTTATTTTTTATTGCAGATGCAACTCTCTCTCTTTTCAGTTGCAGGGGAAAGCATCTATTGCAAAAACAAGCTGGAGAGGTTGTTATAATCTATCTCTGCTCTTCCACTGCATGTAACACTTCATTTTCCTCATTTTATATCCTCCAGGGAGAACCTTCACTTACTGGAGGAGGGCCAGGGTCTTCCCCGAGAAGAGCTGGATGAACGAATTGCCAGAGAGGAGTTCAGGAGACCGCGGGAGTCATTGCTGAATATCTGCACAGAGTTTTACAAGCATTGTGGTCCAAGGCTGAAGATTCTGCAGAATCTGGCTGGTGAACCTCGAGTGACTTCTCTAGAGCTGCTGGATGTGAAGTCCCACATGAGGTATTCCACAGGCATTCTGCTTTTACTTGTTCATTTCAGGGGGATTCCTTTCTTTTAGCTCTTAATGTTTCACAATAGCAGACTGAATCACTTTTTGGTAGTGTAGCTGCATGTTGCAAGCAAGAAAGGCAGAGCAACCACTGCACTGTATTGCACACATGCCTGAAACACGGAGGAGGATGGGGCAGGAGGCATTTACAGGGCTATCTCCTCAGCGTGTGATACAGCAGGTGCACAAGTCTTTTATTAAGGTGCAGCACTGAGCCCAGCTTGCTGGTCGGATGCTCTCTGCAAACTGCTTGGTGTGGTGCAGACCTAGAAGAAGCTGGGGCTAGGGCCTTCGAAGCACTTCGGACCTGATTCTGCGTTTGCAGTTCACTGTAAACGAAAAATAGCGCAAGTCGCTACTGAGAAGTTTGTCCAGGTGTAAAAGAAAACGAAAGCAGTGGGCCAAGAGGGAACGGAGATGATTCTGGTGTCAGTTTTTCATTTATTTTCAGAGGAAACTCTGTTCTCACCTACTAGTATCTCAGGAAACATAAACTCAAGTGAAAACAGCACAGATACTCTCCGAGTTAGCCACTGTTCTGACTGGCACTCGTCAGAAGGAAAACTGGAATTACTGTGAAGCAATCCTAGAGTATCCCTTGGCAGCGGGGGTTGTAGGGAGACAGCTATGTGAATTCTTCTATGAGACAGAGAAAGAATTCAAGATCATTCTTTGAATACAGAACAGCTAAATACCAAGAGACCATTTTTTTTATGGCCTAAGCCAAGCGGTGCTCAGTAAAGCATTAAAGTAAATAGGGAAAATAGCAAAGATATCTGTCTGGGACTGGCCTCAAAAGTGAACCAGAACCACCTCGGCAGTCATTTATGCTGTGCCTTGAACTCTAAGGAGCCATTCTGGCTGCAAATTATTCCTCTGTTCAAGCACTACAGCTGTTTTTTTTTGGAATGCCCTATCAGGGTGACAGATCCTAGCAGTGCACTGAACCAGCCCTGTTCCTGCTCCCTGGGCCAAGGAAAACCCTCAAAAAGCTCTCCTACCTTTTACATGCATGCTCTGAAAAAAAATGAGAAGTCCACTTAGCTGGCAGATTGTGTCACAGTTAAAGATCTTTGGATTCAGGCTGTCTTTGTAGAACATAAAACTCTGTTTGACATTAATTTAGGTCGTGTTTAACAACTGCCACAAATTCCTTTGGGAATTGGGAGGCAGGTTTTGTTTGATTTGTGTGTTTGCATATGAGCTGAATGTCGGTGTTACCCCCCCTCTGGCAAATGTTTAGTAATTTAGAGGGTAATTTTAAACAAGAGATGTCTGTTTCCACTGATACATGTCATTCTTATGTAGTGCTTGACTGCAAAAAATGGAAAACCCGATGGACGTGGCTGCTTTTGCAGTGCCACCTTTACATTTTTTCCAAGAGACGCAAGCGTCAGAAATCAATACATCTGTTCAGCTGTATTACAAACTCCATGAATTTTAGCAATACAAGCCCAAGATAAGAACTTCAGTCTTATGTTAGAAACAAAGATGAGATTCTCGGGACAGACTATGTCCTTGGTTAGACATGTTGGGGTTTTTTTGTACTATTTCAATGGGAGTGAGGAACGCGTGTCTGATGGACTTTGTTTAGTGCAGCAAAGTAAGGGCTTGCTTCTTTTTCCTTTCCTAGTCTTACATTTGTATTTAACATAAGAACGCTCTGAATGTACTACCCAGAAGTGTTTGTAGTTTAACAGTAATGTGGAAGCTTCATTTCTACATGTTTTTATGTTCCAGAGTAATTGAGTTTAATTGTTATTAAACTATTTTATGTCCCTCTCTCAAAAGACGAGTTTAACAAACTTAATCCATCTGCACAGAAGGTGTTATTGGTATCTTTTCTGGGAAGATACTTTCTTGTGAGAAGATTTCCATGAAGCAGAATCACAATACACAGTAGTAGCTGGCAAATAGCACGTTCTTTTTGAGAAAAGGTCTTTCATAGTCAAAGGTTACAGCAGTAAAATGAAGGGATTGATTTGCAGAAGATAATGAGTTGTGCTGTGATTCTCTTATGTATCCTGGAAAGTGCTGGAAGTAACTGCTTTATTGGGGTTGGAACCTGAATTGTTTTATCATAGTTAGCCCTAAATAAATGCAAACGTTGTCTTGATTCTTAAATAAATTCATTTCATAAATATCAGTGAAATGACTTGCAGGATTTAAACACTGTAGGAAATAAACTTTTCTAAGGAGAGAGCAGATTTACCAGAATGTGATGTGACAGCGATGGTCTTGGGAGGCTGACAGATGTCATTTCAAAGACTTCAGAAAACAAGATAATATGCTAGTCACTTCAGACAGGATTCATCTCACCCAGTTTCAGCCATTTAAAAGTTAAATGTTTAGTCTGCAAAAGTCATAAAGATCTCTTTGGACCCAAAGAAAAGGGAGTTGCACATCCAGTGAGCTCTTTATCCCAGTATTTCAGGAAGATAAGAATTTCCCAGGTTGCTTATTTCTGCATGAACAGAGCTAGAAGATTAACTGAGGTTGACGTCTCAAGTTGGATGAGACGAATCTCGTGCTTTTTAATGCGTAAGAAAGTTTTTGTGTACCATTATGTGCCACTGATATTGTATTGCCAGGAAGAAGCGTAATTATATGATAATTGAAATTTCAGAGTGTTTAGGAAAACAGACCTACTCCATGGTAGGACAAAGTAGTTGTAAAAAGTAATAATGAAGAAATACTGGATAAAGAAACACTTTTGTAGCGCTTTTGGTTAATCTAAGGAACTTGTTGCCTTTGATGTTGCTAGGCAGATTTAAAAGAGAATGAAAATACGTTCCATTAGTTGAAGGCATTTCAGAAGAAGCCTCACAATACAAATAGGATTGTACTGTAATAGTCCACTGCAAAGCTTATTGATGTTTCAGGAAGTATACAGGTTTCTATCCTAAGCTAGTAGATGTAGCTTTATTGCTTGTCTTTGCCACAAATATTCAAGTATTTCAGTAGGTCTTTGTTAAACTGCAAGTGTGAGTTAAATGTTGCCGTGGTATTTCACAGTCAATACAGAAAATGCCATTGGCAAGGCCATCTGGGAAGTTAGAAGAAGCAACAGCAGCACAATCTGTAGAGGTGTTAAGAGAAACAAATCAAAGCTGCAGGGAGTAATCCTACAAAGTGCAAGTTGTGTAAACCTATGGGATGGCATGTTATTTTTAAAATTTAACACCTAATAATCGCACAGGGAGACCTCTTAAAGTGGTGACACTGAAAAACAAGCACAAAACCAAACCAAATCACTCATTAATTGACATGCAGGTGATGTCAGGTCTGTGTTTCACAGACATTTGCAATGCTGTAGTCTTACTAACAGCTCAGCTACTTTGTTTTTAGCTACACAAATCTGTGACTCCTGATGTTCCTTTGGTGTGTTTAATGTCAGCGTGAAAAATACTCTGTAGACCATTAAGGTGTCCATAAATATAAACAGTGGTTCCAGAAAAAGAATGTTAAAAGACCAGAAACTGTGATATCGGGTCTGAGTTTAAATAGCAGCACGTTCAACTGTTGCATCTTTTTCTTTTTACTAAGCTACTGAAGATTTGTCTGTTAGTTTATCGACATGTGTGGAGAAATGCAAGTTGTATTTGATTTTCCTCTTCGCAAACCCTGGTTTTAGATTGGCAGAAATCGCACATTCCCTGCTGAAACTGGCGCCTTACGACACGCAGACGATGGAAAGCCGAGGTCTCCGGCGCTACATCATGGAGATGCTGCCCATCACTGACTGGACAGCCGAGGCGGTGAGACCTGCCCTGATCCTCATCTTAAAGAGATTGGATCGTATGTTCAATAAAATTCACAAGATGCCTACCCTGAGGTGAGCAGGTATAATGGAAACCCTCTGGGGTCCGTTTCTGATGTTGCAAGCCTTGAAGTGTGGGTATGTCATCTGACTAAAGCTGTCATGTCGCAGTGAACCCTTACAACATATCAGAAAGTGAGCAGATGTGTTTATCTCTGTAAGTGTGCGTTTGTGTTGGCATTTTCGTTGTGTCTTCTGGTAGCAAGAGAAGAAATGCATGGTTATTAAGAACTACAGAGAGAACTTCCAGAAATCTCATTTTTCTTTCTCCAGAATAAGTCTTCAGATTTGTACCATCTCACTACCCTCTTTATTTATTTTAGCTGTGAGTTAAGGAGATGAATTTTATTTTTTAATGGAAAATCAAACTGCAGTAAGAGTATTTCTAGTGTGCCTTCTCATGGAAATACTGTTAATGCTCTCTGCAAAGATAAAAACAGTCTGGAGCAATACAGTAGCTTCTGAATGCTCCGTAGTAAACAGAACAGAACTGCATCGATTGCACCCAGTCAGTGGGTAGTGAAAGCCTGGTGCATCACATAACAGCGTGATGGTACAGGCTTGGGCAACTTCAGGAAGTGTTCGATATGGAGCGTTCCTACCCCGGAGGCAGTGAGACAAATCCAGTCCGGGTAGTATAAAATCTCTCAGCCCTGTGGATTTTTCAGTGATCTGAGTAAGAATAGTCATTGGTCCCCGTCACCCTCCTGGGCATATGCTTAAATCAGTCACTTGGTTGGCAGTCTCAGCTGAGAAGCTCAATGGTGTTAGAGAACATCAGAATTAAGGACTCAGACAAAACTTCAGGTCCCAGTGGGAATCATAGGTACCCTGCTAAGATGGATCAAATAGTAGGGAGGTGCTCTCTTCTTTCTGGCATCACTACCTATCACTTTCCTTTGGCTAACAATCTGCTGTAAGAAACTCCTGCCCCTGTAGGAAATATAGAGGCAGAAATTTTGATGCGTCTCCTTCCTGTTGGTTTGATTCTTTGCCATGTCTTGCCTGCTTCTTGCTTATTCTTCCCTTACTCGCTCATCCTTTCTTCGGCCTCAGAGGCAGCTTAGAGGTCTTCCTGTTCCTCTCTGTGTAAGCTGAATGAATACTCATAAATTAAAATTCCCTTCATATTCTCTCTGTCTGTGCCTGTACCTGTGCCTGGCTGAAACTACTCTTCTGTGTGCAAAGGGCTAGAGACAGCAAAGCCACTGGACCGAACGCAGCGGCTACGTTTAAACATCATTGGGCCAAGAAGCCTCTTAGAGACGGGGCTGAGTGCCAGACCCCAGGAGCCATCCACTGGGGTCCTCACATCAGAATCTTACGTGCTGCCTCCTGCGGGCACCCAGCTCCAAAACCAGTGTCTGACGGGAGCAGTGTATGTGTTAGAACAAGAACAAACTACTGTTCTGAAGATGTGGGAACAGTGGATGCTGAAAGATGAGCTGTTGGTCTGCGTAAGAACCTACGTAGTGAACACTTGATCCCCTGTGTGTCTCTAAGAAGTCTGCTGAGGAGCTTGACTAGGGTATTGTTTAGTCTTGAGCTGACGAGTTAGGTAGGCTTTGTCCTTCTGTCACCATAAGTGCACAGCCAGACGTTGGCTTGGGAGCTATACTTACTCCAGAGAGCCAGTCTCTGAGATGAAGACTGTCAGCCTCTTGAAAGTTCGTTACCTCCGCTGTGGCTGCTTGTGGTTAGGAAGGACTCCGTTCAGCATCTGTCACGAGCCCTAAAAGCTGTTTTGGTGAAAAAAGCAAAGTGTCAGGGAAGAAAGGATCCTGGAATGAAGGACGTTGGTAGGGACTGACTCAGCCCTTCTGCACAGGCTGAGGAAGGTCAAGATGGTACTGCTGGGCCAGTTCAAGTTTAGGGCAGACTCTGGGAGTCACTCTGGCAGAGCAGAGGAGACGAAAAAGTGGCTTTTGGAGGCCACTCATAGCTGACGGTGGTTGTTCCCTTCCATGGGAACATCCGCAAGCGATGGAGGAGTGGCCTCAGCTGGCAGCGTGGCACGGCAGACCGCTGTCCCCACGCGGGCACGCCGGGGCGGCTGTCCGGTGGCTCCTGTTGGCTCGCCGTCTGTTGGTGCTCATCTCGGACGTCGTCGCTGTCTGAAGCGTCTCGTCTGTGGGCGTCTGTGTGTCGGTGGCCGCGTTGGCGGGCGTCGGGGGGCAGGAGGGCCGCGGCTAACGGCACTACTGTTGTGTTGCAGGCGCCAGGTTGAGTGGGAGCCTGCCAGCAGTTTGATTGAAGGGGTTTGTTTGACACTTCAGAGGCAGCCTATCATATCCTTCCTGCCTCACCTTAGGTCTCTGATCAATGTCTGTGTCAACCTGGTGAGTAGCCCAGCGGCAACCCCGTGCATCTGCTAAACCCTCCCCTGCCGTTGACTTCTCTGGACTGAAGATGACAGTTCGTTCCCGTTCCTGTCCTTTTACCTGTCCCCCTTGCCCCTCGCAAGGGGACTTGGCAAGTGACACTAGAGATAGCGAGGGTCATTTTTGAAGTGGTGCATGGGGAGATACAGTGACCGGTAGCGGCGGTCAAGCGATTTATTTCCGTTGCTTCCCACGCACCACTTTGAAGATCCACCTTTGCCAAGCTGAGCTGAGAGTTGAGGGCTGCAAGTTGGAGAGTGGGGTGGTGGAGACTGCACACACCTGGTAGAGACGGGGAGAGGGTGGCACTGGGGATACTTACCATCTCCAGTGTGGAAGCACCCTGGTGGCTCTCAGAGGCCATCAGGTGTTGGCTAGTTAGAAGGGTTTGCATGGGTGGGTTCACTTCACTGTTCGCAATGTCCCTGGCTTGATCTAGTACAGGTTTGCACTGTACAATGTTCAGATCCCACTCTTGGTAGAATTTATGCTCCGAGGTGTGTTACAACGGAGAGGTGATACAGACGGAGCCTGTCTGGTCTTTCAGGGATAGACTGTAGTGCTTCTGCAGCTGTTACACTGGGGTCAGACCCTCGGTTTGGTATCAGTGGCACTCCAGCCATTTGGACAAACATGCCTGCTTATGTTCCAATGTGGAAAAAAGTACAAATAAAAGGGGAAAGGCTGCACCAGCATTTTTATTGTTCTTGGGTTTTATAACATTTTCTCCTTAGAACATGAACGTCGTAACTTTTTCTAGCCATTACAAAAAACCTCTCGGAGTTCACCAGTGCTCTGAGGGGCTTTAAAAACAACGATCATCAGCTAAAATGCAGTATCAGTTTTTGCCAGGTTCCTGCCCTTCGAGTCCATTCAGCACTCATTGCCCCAAGGGCAGAGAAGATTGAACCTGTCAGAGTCCATGAGACTTCTTCCTTGGTCAAGCAGAGGTAGCTACCTGAAGGTACCGCAGATCTGGGCCCTCGGACTACCGAGTGTTGCTACATGAGGAGGTTGCTACAGAGTTAGGTCAAATACAAGTTTAGAATGGACTTGCAGTTTGGCAAGCAGGCATGGCAGGCTGAATCACGCCAGCAAGCTCTCCAAAGGGCCTGCATCAAGAATTAGCCAGTGCTCTAAAAATATGCGAAAGCTCTGCGGTGCTGAAGTGCAGTCATCGTGCTTACATTCAGCTAGCTGGGAGCATCAGGGAAAACTACCAGGAAAAGATGTACTCTTACTGTTAGGAGTATTTTACCATTAGCTATCAGAACTATGGCCACTGTGAGCTGTGGGAGCGCCCCAGGCTGCATGCTGTGTCAACTGGAGACCAGCTGCATGACGAAGCCCCAGAAGAGGTCAGCCAGGAAGGTGGGGAAATGCCTAATAGATAATCCATAGTCGTGTTTAAGAGTTCCTGAGAACAGGCTGTGTTTGAGAGGAATCTGAACATTGTACAAAACCCGGCTTGGGTCAGACTTAGGACATTATTTCAAGTAGATCAGCAAGAGAAGGGAAAAGATGTCCAGTTTCAATGCAGACTTTTTGCTTTGATGACATATTTTTATTTGTTACAGTTGTTACATGACATATCCTCCAACTCTAACTGTTCCACCGGTCCAGTGCTGGTCATTCAGGGCTGGTACTGGGTACATTTATGAATGTACCAGGTTACCTGTGCACTCCTCCCATCCCTGCTGGTTCCCTCTTCTCCCCTCCCTTTCCCTGCTAGAACTCCCTCTCCTCACTGGCCCCAGCTCTCACAAGGACCACTGAGGGGGCCGGTTCTCCTAGAGCCACCCCGACTCAGTGCTCGATGGAAGACACCTCCATTTCACCGACGTTGGAGGATATGGCATGGATGGAACTGTGAGTAGTCAGCTGTGGTGATGTGCTCTGTTTGTATTGCAGGTGATGGGAGTGGTAGGACCCTCCAGTGTGGCTGACGGATTACCCCTTCTTCATCTCAGCCCTTATCTCTCGCCACCTCTGCCCTTCAGCACAGCTGTTGTCCGGCTTGTAGCATTGCAGATACAGGTGTGTCTGCCCTGGCCTGCGGCCAGGCCTGTTGTAGCTTCTGGTTGAGACACCAACTCATCGGTGCTCTGTTTTCTTACTGCAAAAGCTGGGCAAAAACTGTGGAACATACACCAAAAATGAAAGAGAAGCAACATGTACATTCTCTTGAAGGCTTGAACTGAGCTCAGAATTCACCTGTTGGGGCCAAATCCACAGCAAGCATCCATCAGCTTAACACTGCCATTGAAGGCCAGGGAGTTTGGCTGATAGATGCTGTTTAAGGCTCTGACAAGCACGTTAGGATTCTCTGCAGGATCTGAGGAGTTTGCGTAAGTCTCCTGCCACAGGGAGATGGGCCCTAGCTTGGGACACGTCCATGCAACCCTGCCTCTTTCTGTGGGAACATGTGTGCAACTGAGAGTGGAGCTTGTGCTCTTCTGCTCTTAGCTGAGCTGGTCACACGGTGTGTCAGCTCAAAAAAAGCAGGGCAACTTGGCTTTTCAGCTGCTGACTCAATAGTATCCTTGTTATCCAGAATAAAATAAAACATCCTGAACTTTCTGGAGAATTTCATCGCTACTCCTTTCTCGTAGCAGTGGCATAACTAGTACAGAGTCTTTCTGCCTCTGTGTCCCTCTCCCTCCCCATTGATGCGAAATCCGACAGAACGGTGACCAAAGAAGGGACAAATTTCCTGATCTAGCTCCAAATTGCATTTTTAAATATGCGTTGGCACATCCAGTTGAGTACTTCAGCAGGTATTTCTGAGCAGCAGGGCAGCTTGGGAAGGACCAAAACACAGTGCTGTCCCTCAGAGCATGAGGCACAAAAGGACTTTCTGGTACCAGCTGACACAGAAAGAGGACAGATTTCTTCCAGCTCTGAGGTAGTAATGGTTCTTTTAGTCGAAAGCAAAAAAAGGGCCACCTTCGCCTTCTCAGAAGTATTTTGTCTTTTTAAAAAACAGATACAAAATTAATCACTTTTTAAAAAGTAATGGGAGTTTTTACTTTTATTATCCTCTTCTCCCTATTCACGGACTTTAAATGTAATGAGGACCAAACATGTCAGAAAAACACTAGTAGTCATAATTCTAATAATTCCATCAGGATATGAAACAGAAATAGTTCACACCCTATCAGAAAACATCTTCTCCTGGAATTTCTCAGCGCAGGTCTGCAAGTTTGAGGGGTTGCAAGGTTCAGTTGCATTTCACAGCTAAGTCTGTAGCAGCTGGGAAGCTATAAATGAGCAGAGATTCCAATGACAGCCGTTTGCATTTTCTCCTCTAAAAAAGATGAAAGACCTTCAAATTTAGGCTTGACTGTGTGTCAAGAAGTGCACGTGCATTTTATTTTCCAGGAGTTCATTCTTTGCGTTAGGGAGGATGATTGGGCAGCACAAAGTAAGGCAGAACAAAAAATGTGTTTGGGAATAGCCTCCATGTTCAGACAGCAGAATGTTTTAGATGGTCATTTGTGCAATTTGCTCTGTTCCTGGTTTATTCCCTGTAGTCTGGGTCAGATCCTCATGCCGTTTACAGCAGTGCAGAGTTTCAGACTAACACTCAGCTGACTCCTGTGGGATACACCTGGTTTGGTTAGGAATCTGGGCTTCCTACATCTTGGCTATGACAGGAGCGGGTGACCCCGTGTTACTCTGTGAATTCCTTTTGCCCCTGACTAAGTGGTCTATGGGCTTCCAGCTCAATCAGGTCACATCGGTGCCGGTGTACTGTGTAAGCAGGGAGCCCTGGGGATCGCCATTCCCTGCGGGAACTTGTGTGCGTGATCTGCTGATGAAATCGTTTAATCCTTTCTTATTATTACTGCACAGGCTTTGAAAGAAGATTTCCCCCTAAGCCATGTCGTCTCCCCATTCACCAATCAGGAAAGAAGGGAAGGAATGCTTTTAAACCTACTGATTCCATTTGTGCTCACAGTAGGATCTGGAAGCAAAGGTCTGACTAATTTAACAAAAAGAATTTTTCTCACCCAGAAGAAATGGAGGGTAGGGATAGCTGATAGATTTTTTTTTTTTATTATTTTTATTTTTTTAATTTGGTTTTCTGTCACTGGCAGTGTGTCAGCTAAGTGCCCTTTGGGTCCGAGACTGAAAGGAGCCCCACGGGGAGAAGCTGTTGTTGTTGTTTCTTCTCTTTGTTCCAGCTGTGCCGTGGTTCTTGAGTCAGGTCTTACACAGATGGGCTCCTTCTTTTGAAACTGGAGTGCAGGGCAAGACGAGTCTGTGGTAGCAGAAGCCACAGAAAGGAGCAGAAGTCACAGAAATTGTGTGCCTCTGTGGGTCACTGTCCGCCCAATCCGTGCCGCTGGTCTGGCACAAGTCCTGCTCCTTGCTTTCTTCTGTAGAGGGTGATCGCTGGTAAATCCCTAAATGAAAGCAAAGAGTAAAGGGAGAGGGGAATGTCAAAAGGAAATGGGATCATGAGACCACTGAGCAGAACGTTTCTTTGTGCTGTGTAGCTCTGTGTTCGTGTATGTTCGTGTTGGTGCTAAAATAAACTTTGCCTTTGCTTGCAGGAGGAGAAGCAGCATAACAAGGTGTGGGGGACGGAGTTTTGGCTTAGGGGACATTTGGGATTGCACCTCGTTTTGGAACTGAGCAGGGTCTGGATCTTTTGGGTGTCTTTGGTGGAATGTAGCCTGATCTTTCTCTCTCTCTCCCCTCCCAACGCATCTCAGACAGTCCCTGGCTGGAGCAGCCTGAGGTCCTGCTGCTGCTCCAGACTGTTATCAATATCCTTCTGCCACCTCGCATCATCAGCACTTCCCGCAGCAAGAATTTTATGCTGGAGAGCTCCCCCGCCCATTGCTCCACCCCAGGGGATGCGGGGAAGGACCTGCGGCGGGAAGGGCTCGCAGAGTCCACCAGCCAGGCTGCCTACCTGGGTGAGTGATGGCTTCTGCTCACCCCTGGGAAGAGACAGAGGTAAAATGGAGTGTTCGAGACTGTAGATAGCATCTCAGGGCAGGTCTGAGCTCTTCAGAGCTGCTGTAGGTCTTGTCCTGAACAAGGGCCCAGGCCAGAGCGTGAAGCCAGGAGTACCTCTGGAATGTGTCGCGACGTGAGCAGCATCTGCACTGCAACTGGAGGAGATTGCAGCGCAGCCAGGAGTCGCGCAGTTTTCATGCTGCCAGGATATGGCAGTGAAGCCACAAAAGGCAAGTCAGGCTGCCTGCCAGCCCCTGGCATCGCAGCTGCCTTTGGCTAGCTAGGGTGGAACGTGATGTAGTCTGCCTGCCTCCTGGCCCTGCACACACACGGTCCTTACTGACTGGTGTTCCCTCTGCTCACGGTGTGCTGCTGCAAGGTAGTACTATATTTTCTCATATATGACCCATAGGTACTATATTTTCTCATATATGACCCATAGGTGAAAGGAAAGGAAAGGAAAAAAAATCATCAAATTGGAGATGCAGCAGCACTGCAGGTTATCAGGGCTATATGGGGGGAGTTTTGTCTCAAAGCTCTTGCTCCTTCAAATGGCTTCTCTGTTTCTGATTTTGTGAGAACATTTATCTGAAGGCTCTGAATTTATCTGAAGATCTTTGTTAACCCATATCTGAGGAATGGAGTAATGCTGATGAAAAATGGCAATGCACCGCTGGTTTAGCCCCCCACCCCAACAAACCTGGCTACAGATGTGTGATGGCTCAGATTTTTTGGCCATCCCATCAAGAAAGATGGAATAGTCACCCTTCCCCAAGCAATTCCCAGGCCTCCCTGTTTGTTCCGGACCAGGGGAGCGTGGAAAGGGGGAGATTCCTTGTCTCCTGTGAGCTGTTCATCACAGCCTACTTTGATACAAAGCATTGTTTTGAACCTCATCGCCGTTCGGCCCCGTTTGTAGTGCAGTGTTCTTGTGAATTACGGCCCTTGGCTTATTGGGCCGTGTTTTTGTTTAGATTCCAGTCTGGTGATGACCCTGCAGCTGCCCTGCTAGAAAGGTTCTTTTCCTTAGCCCGTAAATAACCTGGAGGTTACTGTGTTCACAGGGTGACTCTGTGTGCGGATATGCTCCATTAAGATTTTTGAGGTGATCTGATCAGCTGGAGCTATATTCCCCCCCGAGCTGCTTTCAAAAGATCTGAATTCCAGGAAGACAAAAGAACTCTGCAGGGAGGGAGAGGGGAAACTAGAGCAAGAGAATACACAGGAACTTAGGTGTGAAGTAGGAAAATTTCTCTGGAAATGGGACTCTTAGTCCTGATCCTGAGGCCTTTACGATAAGAAGCTTGCCCTCCTTCCCTGCCGCGCTTGGAGACTGATGGAAAAGAGAGTGGTGACTCTGAGGGGTGTGGGTGTGCGTGTGGACGTGTGTGCCCATGTCGGTTTGTGCCCTTCCTCCCTCAGTGCTCGTACGGGACACCGGTAACGTCTCTGACTGCCCTTTGCTGGTGTGTGTTCCCCTGTAGCCCTGAAGGTGATCCTTGTTTGCTTTGAACGCCAACTGGACAGCCAGTGGTACTGGCTGAGCCTGCAAGTCAAAGAGATGGCCCTGCGGAAGGTGGGAGGGCTGGCCCTGTGGGATTTCCTCGACTTTATCGTGCGAACACGGATCCCTATCTTTGTGCTCCTTCGGCCCTTCATCCAGTGCAAGGTAACGGTTGCTTTGGCTCCTGATTGATCACTCCCTGAAGGCAAGATATCCTTCATTCCCCTGCTGAGAACAGAGGGACCGCGCTCCTGGGAGAACCGTGTCTTTACGTAGGGAGTGACTTGTCAGAAGTTAGCAGGGCTGAGAACCCTTCGAAACTAAATCGCAGGGCTTTTTTCCTAGACCTACTTCTAAAGAGTATGCCAGTCACACAGGAGCTCTGATCCACGGAGCACAGCTACTCTTAGTTCCCCTGGATGGGAAAGTACTATCGGGCTCGACCAAGAGGGTTTGCATGTGGACCTTATTTTGCAACAAAGGCACTCAAAGCGCTTGGAAGTAGTGTGGACACTATGAACCTAGGAGGGTTGGCATGGTTGGCAGAAATCTTCCAGAAATCTCTCTTTTGCACAGAGCTGGGCAAAATACAGCTAACAGCCAGGAAGGACCATTCTGCTTTCCATCTCTAGGGTGAAGGTTCTGATAGGACTTTTGTGGCTGGACAGAGAGCTGCTAGGCTGAGGCGACCAAGGCTTAAGTTAATCATGGCTCTTCCCTGCTTACCAGGTAGACCAGCATATGGTACTCCAGCTTCTTTAGCCAGCCGTGTCTCACCACTGGGACAGACTAAGTCATCTTGGAGGAAGGAGCCATCTCATTTCTGAGGGTAGAGCTTAGCATGAGGAAGCCCTCATCCCCATGTGCCAATGTTAGTGAGGTTTTGGTATCTGTTCAGTTGTCCCCGAAAGACAGGTGGAAACCTCATAGCTGGCGTCAAAACCTCATCCCTACAAAGAGACAAGTCTGCTGGCTGCAGGCTCGTGCTGATCCGGAGACTAGTGCCAGTTCCCTGGGCACCGTTTCCCTGCAGTGCTAACGTGTCCTAACTTTGCAGCTGCTGGCCCAGCCGGCCGAGAACCACGAGGAGCTGACGGCCCGACAGCACATCGCCGACCAGCTGGAGAGACGGTTCATCCCGCGCCCGCTCTGCAAGAGCTCCCTCATCGCCGAGTTCAACAACGAGCTGAAGATCCTGAAGGAAGCAGTGCATAGCGGGTCTGGTAAGGAGGAGAGGGGAGAGTAAGGGCCACCAGCCCAGCTGGCCAGCCCGTAAATTAACTTGGGAGGCAGACCTGCCCACTGCCCAGGATAGGGATGGGGTGGCCCACCCACACCTCCACTGTCTCCTCCTTTCTCCTCTTGGTCTCTTTGTGATTTTTCTCTACCGTGAGGTCCATATCACGTCACCAAGGTGATGATGCACTGGATCCTCACTCCCGTGAGGGGACACTTTTCTCCTGTGACAGTCACCCTCGTGGCCACCAGATGGCAGCCACTGCGTGCCCGCGGCAAGAGATTGTATGTGCTTTGTTCTTAAGAAGGGAAAACAAATTCGAAAGAAAATGCTTCAGCCTTTTTTTCCTTGGTTCCCAAATTCACCTTGTTCCCAAATGTTGAAGCTGATGTGGAAAATATGGCACTAAGGTTGAGGGAGAAAACTGGACTGCATGAGAAAAAGAGACAGATTTTGGAGAGATGAGGTGAGCCAGGATAGATGTGTCTGTTGTATCACTGCTGCCAACCCTTGCCCCACCAGTCCGGGCAGAACCAAGTGCCTGACGTGATGGGAAAGCTTGGCTGGTTATTGATTTCCAGTGCCATCGCTGACTTGGGTTTGGTTTTCCCACTCTTGCGCAGCTTACCAAGGGAAGACATCTGTCAGCACCGTGGGCACCTCCACCTCCGCTTACCGCCTGAGCCTGGCCACCATGTCCCGCTCCAACACCGGCACCGGCACCGTCTGGGAGCAGGACAGTGAGCCTTCCCAGCAGGCCTCGCAGGACACGCTGAGCCGCACGGATGAGGAGGATGAAGAAAGTACGTGGCTACTGATTCAAGCTAAGACCCCAACATTGAAGATGTTTTTTTTGATGCCCCAGGGGATGACTGGGAGGGGAAGACAGTTGTCCCCGTCCCAGTGTGAACAAAAGGCCCCCAGGGGCACGAGGCTAAGAAACTGGTGTGGTTGCTTTGCAGTTCATGGCGTTAAAGCTTGGGTTGTTCCTCCTCATTCCCTCCTGAGCTCTGGGTAGGGAAGAGGGAAGGGCACAGGCAGATGCTTAGTGTGTGAGACCTGGGCTGACATGCAATCCTCACAGTGCTGACAAGGCATTTGGCAATCGGTCCGCTCTTGGACCTTCATCGTCACAGCAGGCAGGGGCTGTAGTTAGGATCCTCTTCCTGCAGGATCTTAGTACTTCCCAGTCATCACTTCTGTCCAGATGCTGCGACGTGGAATATGTTGTCCTTGTGCTGCATGGGATCCAGCTGTGACTCTCTGGAGTCTGTGTGGAATGTCTGTGTGCTTGTGTCACTCGATAAACAAAGAGGAAATTAAGCCTTAAACCTACTGACAACAGAAGCTTGATCTCCCTTTTGGGCAGCTGGCAGGTTCTGGGGTCGCCAGGCTTTCTGGTACCAGTTTAGAAGGAATGGGATGGTGAATCTTTTGAGAACTAATTTGCAGTGACCTGAATGTTGCTTTGTCATTGCAGCCGAGTTTCATGTTATTCTTGGAATTTTGCCTTTCCTCTGCTTCTGAGCTGTCCATCTGCTTCTGAGTTGTCCATCACTGAAAGCCAGGCTAGAAAACTCTGCTCTTATGTCGTCAGGCTTGGGCTTCCCCCTACTTTAGCAGGGATATTGTCTTCTGGTGCTGCAGTGGTTGGTTGCCTCAATGCCTGAAACCCACTTCACTTCTGTATTTGAGGACCGCTGACTCTTCCCCAAAGGCGTTAAAGAAAAAGGGTGAAAAACAGGCTTACAAGAAGGGCCCGTGCAGTTATGGCAGAATTGCCTTTTGGGAAAGAACTGCCAGCCTGAAACTTTCCAGGCTCAGCTGAACTTTATTTTATCTGGGTTCATCACTAAACTTTGCACAATCCACCCAGTCTGGTACTGCGGATACAGCACTCAGGCACTCGCTGTGGCAGACTGGTTTCAGCCTCAGATTAATGGTGAGCCGCTGCGTGGAGCGATGAGTGCTCTCTTCCCGTTCGCCTGCGGCGGTGTTCCCTTGGCTTAATGCTGCCGCAAAATATGTCAGTATATCAGAACCGAAAAAGGTCAAAAAGAAAGGAGAAAACGACACAGAATTTCTGCTTTGTTTTGTTTGTTTATTTGTCATTAGAAGTCGTTGTGGTAAAAACCACAACGGAGTCATTTCTTTCCAGGTACTTCATGTAATTTGAAACAGCACTGAAAATCTCAAGCAGTCCTGATCACAGTCCAGGGTTCAGTTGCAGTATGATGTATTTGAGTCAATTTATCCAATTCTTTGGTGGCATTTTAAAATGCATGTCCCAGAGGGTGTTAAAGGGTATCTGTTCTGCATTTTGCTGTTATATATTTTATCTTTTGTGACAGTGCTTTGCCATATCGCAGCAGCAGCAGTTTATTTCACACCAGCAAAATGTCCAGTTACAAATTTTATGCCAGAAAACACTGTATATTAACAAAGAATTTATTAAGGAATTAAGCCCTAGTGGAAGCTGAGTTCCCCAAGCACGTTTTCCTGAGCCATGTAAGCTGAAGGCATACATAAATCCCCTCATCCTGCAGGGGTTTACGGTTTACACATACGTCTTTCTGAAGTGTGACTGTAAAATCTAATGGAAGTGTTCAAATTTGCAGGCTTGGGGTCTTGGTAAGTAAATGCTGGGTACACCTTTGGCATCCTGTTACCTCTGGACAACTGTAAATATGTAGGTGGGGTTTGGGGTGGTTGTTTCGTCTCCTTTCCTGTTTTTCCTTTCTTTCCAGATGACTCTTTGAGCATGCCCAGTGTGGTAAGTGAACAAGAAGCATACCTTATGGGTGCCATTGGGAGGAGACGGTTCTCCAGCCATCTCTCCAGCGTGTCTGCACCTCAGGCTGAGGTGGGCATGTTACCCAGCCAAAGGTAACAACATGGGCTTTTCACCTTTCCCATTATATTCACGAGAGCAGAAATGGTGCAGGTATATTGTGTGTACAGCAGAGATGTGGGAGAGCGGAGTCAGTGCCAGCGTAGTGACGCTAAATTTATTCATCCTGAAATAGTGCTGGACCAAGGGTGCACAGTTGGAAATAACGACTGTCCAGGATGATCTGTGATGCGTTAGGTCCATAAGAACAAGCTACCATCCGTAGAAACCTTCCTCTTAAACAGCTTCCTAAACCCTCAGCACTATTATTTTCCCCTGCTACTACTGCGGATAGCAAATGGAAAACACATGATTTTGGGGTCATGCCTTGAACCGGGGGACCGTATGCAGTCTGTGTAGGGAGTGGGGAGGAATCCTGAGGCTGGGAAGCGGGGCAGAGGCATCCTGTTTGATTTACTTAGTTTTCTTCCATGTAGTCTTTGTCTTTCCTACAACAGTAACTAGCTTTAAAACCAGAAACATACTTGTTGATAGAAATAACTTTGAGTGCTTTATTGCTGGTTAATATGGAGTGGTTAGAAAGAGATTGGAGTTTGGGAAATGTACATCTTTAGAAGATGTAGAGAGAAGTTTTGCATTTAAAAATGATTTTTTTTTCCTTAAGTAAGCAATGTTTATTGTTTTATTTGTCTGCGACATAGTTATCCAAGGATATCTGACAATGGACAGATTAATTTACGTTATTTCCTTTGAACTTTTAAAGAATAAATTCTACATTATCTCTTGACCAGCCTTGGAAAATCAAACAACATTGTTCCCTCCCCAGTCTTGCTTGGAATTAAAGAAATAACCTTGATACATGAAGGAAAATTAACAGCTGTGGTACATACTAGCAGATATAGGAGAAGTGATTTACAAGACAGAAGTTACACAGATTTTATCTGGGGAGTTTTCACAAAAAGGGCTTACAGGAACTCACTTGATTTTTGAACTCAATCGATTCAGTCCTTTTTTTTCTCCAAAAATTAATATGCAAGACTGCATTTTCCTCAATCTTTCACTGCCATCTTCAATGCATAAACTTCCTAAGTGTCACAGTTGGCTGATAACAGTGTTTGCTTTGTGCCATCCCAAGTCATGGTGATGCTGAGAAAAAAATACTTTAATTACAACAGAGCTTTGCCTCTCTACTTTTTAAGTTCAT